AAAGGCTGAAGTAAATTGATGAAAGGTGACCCCAAAATAACATTTTGTTTGATATTTTTAACAAGTAAAAAGGGAGTTTTGAAAGAAATTTGGTCTTTCACAATCTCGGCTTCAGGAATTTTGTAATTAATCATTAGTCTATCCCCGGATGCTGATTTGAGAGACTGGGAAGTTTTCTCAAAATATTTGGTTGGTATGAGACCTTCCTTTATACAATTAAGGTCTGCACCAGTATCAAAAAGGGCTGAAGTTTCCAAAATAATTTCATTTTGGATTCTGATAGAAATATTGATAATCCACTTTCTGGTGGTAATTTCAGAAAGCATCAAAAGGAAGTTTGTATCAGAAGAAGAAGGAGGTTGAGGGGCATTTTCTTCAAAATCTTCTTCTTTCTGTTTTCCTCTTAAATTTTTCATTTTAATATCCAATATGTTTTTTTGCATAATTAACAGAGTGGCCTTGAGATCCTGAATTTCTTGTTTTTGTTTATTGATCTCTTGAGTTAGGTCACTTATGGAAATGGGTTTAAAATTTGCTTTTTTGGTTTTACCAAGAATGGTTGAAATATTGTAAGGACTATCAGTTTGAAAAGTGGGTTTAGAAACTGATTTGGGATTTTGAAATTTATTCAAATATTTAATCTTTGTTTCAGGGTCAGAAATTTCATCAAAAGTTTGTAGAAGAATTTCTTCTTCTTTTGTCAAAACATTTATTTCAAAACTGGTGGCTTCTTCATCTTCACTATCTGAACTTGACGATGAAGAGGTTTCTAAATCGCAAATTTGCAAACCTTTTTCAAAACTAGATTCATCAGAAGAACTACTATCGGTTTCAATCATTAATTGATTGAGTTGATTAATAGTTTCTTCATCTAAATCTAACTCATTAACCTTTTTGCTGATTTTGCAAAATCGAGAGGTGTGGCCTTTCTTGCCACAGTTATAGCAAGTGATATTTTTAAAATCCCTTTTGGGTTTTTTGGTTTTATTAAAATCATCATTTTCTTTTTTCTTAGAAAACTTTTTATCAAACTTCTTTTTATAAGGTTTATAAGGCTTCTTATAAAACTTCTTTTTATCTTTTTGTTTAGAAGGGCATTTTCCTGAACATTTGGATCTTTCAAAAGATTCAAAAGAAGGATCATATTGGGCACAAAAATCTCCTAAACCTTTTTTGGAAAGTTTTTGTTCTTTCTTGATTTGTTTTTGGAGACGGATATTGGTGCACAATTGTGTTCCTATTTTATAAATATAAGAGGTTAGTTCACCATAAGAAAGAAGGTCATATGGAATTTGATTTCCATATTCTTCTCTTATCTTACCACGAACTTGTTCTCCTATGAGCTTTGGTAAACCAGCAAGAAATTTTTCTTTCCAAAAAGACTGATTGCAGTCTGTTCTTTGGAAAACTCTTTGCAAAAATATTTCTTTATATTCTCGGAATTCTCCTAAAGATCTACATTTCATATTGGATAAAAGATCTTGATTTTTATCTAGAATATGAGAAGAATCTCCTAGAAAATGTTGGGATATAGAGAATATCAAAGTATTAACAGCAGCTTGGATAGGTTGATCATCTTCATCAAGAATATTTTGACCAAAAGGGTCGAGTTTAAAGGCATTTAAAATTTGAGACCTTTGCTCATCATTCAGGTAGTTATCCCACCATCCTTTGAGCTGGCCTGTAAATCCGGCTATTAAAAGATATGCAACAGAATGATCGGAAGTATCAGGGATGGTCTTATAAGTATTAGCAAGCATGACCATTTGAGTCAGAATATTTATAAGGTTTTGTTCAGAAACACCATCTATATTCCATTCATAGATAGCATCAGAAGAATATTTGTTCTGAACTTTAGAAAAGGTTTCTTCTGTGAGAATATCAGGTGGAGTAGCACGGGAATAATATAACTTTTGAGAATCCCTCCATGTGATACGATTTACCTCAGGAAGGGATTCAGTATCGGATTTATCTAAAAGATTGACTTGGTTGGAGGATTCAATGCGGTCAGGAGTGTCTTTGACACTCAGATTTTGTATTAAAGGAGTATCCAAAATTATGAGATTTTTAGGAATCAAAACTGTTTTTCCTTTGAGGAGCCTTCTCCTATCCTCTAAGGCTTTGGCAAAATCAAGACTAGGATTTTTTGGAATTTCAAAATTCCTAAAGAGAGGCGGTTTTAAATCCTTTTTCGGAAAAGTTATAGAAGAAGATGAGAAACTTAATCATGTCTTAAATCTTAAATTACACAGATGTACGACTTATCATGAGTGCGCGCCATGCACAATATTTCCTTTGCTGAAAAGAGGAAAAAGTGGATGCAGGGACCGGGGCGGACTTACCAATTTGGGCTAAGCCCACCATTCTAAAAGGAGTACAGATTTTTCAGTTTTTGGGCATGGGAGACCACTCCAGCCAGGGAAGTATCTCCAGCCTTACGGGACTTTTCCATTTGGAACATTTTTCAAATGAAATGTTATTTTTATAATATGCATAGCACCTCGTGCGATTACATGAATTATAAAGGTTATTACAATGTACCCTCTCTATCATATGGGTTCATTTTTGCTTGTGTCTTTATGATCACGTAGCCTTCTACTTGTTTTTTTTTTGGATATGTACACTAGAAGTCCTGAAAATTGTAATGAAAGTGCAATTTAGTCCTACAACTTACAAAAAGTGCAATCAAGTTATAAAACTTATCAAATTAGTACAATTAAGTCCTTATGGTTAATTCTGTCAAATTTGGCTAACGAAAAATGTTGATGTGGCTTTTTTTTAAGTTTTCTCTCTCCTACGTCGCGATGACGTGACTATATCATAAAACATAAAGCTAAAACGATGTTGTTTTCGTACAAATATGATTTTTAATATAATTTATTCAAATTAAATTTTAAACATAAGCTAAATTTAAATAAATAAATAAAAAAGAGAGAAGGGTGAAAACAGGTGGGGAGGGCTACAGCCATTGCCGGGACGGCTGACGAGGATGGGTGATAGCCGGCGACCCTTGCTGACCCTTGCCTGATCTGGGCCTGTGGTCGGCGACCTTGCCTGATCTAGGCCTACGGTCGGCGAGGGTTGCTGGCCAGTGGCTGGGGCCTAACGACCCTTGTCGACCCATGGCTAGCCATCCCCCACCATGGTGGCGGTGAGGGCCTATCGCCATTTTGAGTTCCTTCCTCCTTTTTTTTTCAAATTTAAATTATTTTTAAACGTAATTAAATAATATTTATATTAAAAAATCATATTTAGATCAAAACGACGTAATTTTAGCCTTATCCTTTTTGTTTTAGCCACGGCAGCGCCACGTGAGAGAGAGAAAACAATAAAAAAACTATGTCAGCATTTTTTGTTAGCCAAATTGGACGGAGTTAATAGAAAGACTTGATTGTACCAATTTGACAAGTTTTATGACTTCATTACGCTTTTTGTAAGTTTTAGGATTCCATTGCACTTTCGTGACAAATTTTAAAACTTTCAGTGCAAATATTCCTATTTTTGTTTTTGTCAAGAGAATAATAATATACGAAACATCAACTACCACTTTCTCGTGCACGGGAGAAAATTGTTCTCCTAAGCATCGGATGCACATCGCGCTCAATTTTGCTAATTGCATGATAAAGCCATGCTCTCATGTCACGTTGTACTTATGCGATAGTCTCTCGCAACAACTTGAGTTGGATGATGCCAATGAAAGAGGAGGGAACTCCTACATATGCACGAGCTCCTCGAATAACAACCGTACCTTTCCGTTCAATCTAACGCCGGAGATTCCGTCTCCCCAATGGCCCGAACTACCCCATAAATCACAGAAGACTCGACATAGTGTTCAAGGGTGCACATAAGAACCCAAAATTCTTGAAAGTGTCACGACGCTAGGCTTGGATCACCTTGGCCACCTTCTTGGTGAATCATACCTTAGAGAGCGTCCGGTGCGTTGTTCCAAGACATGGATATGCTCGTGTGTCAGAACTCAGAGAGAAGCACACAGAAGATCCCTATGAGACTGTCGATCCATTGTCTCCAAGGGAATCGGGGCAAAACGGCAATGCGTGGATTCTCGCGCAGCAAAATCCAAAGTGCCCACATTACTATGCTCTCTTCTTGCACCCCCATCCAGCAACCCAGCATGGGCTTCTAGCTTCTTCATCTAGGGTTTCAAAAACGCCATTCATATCCTATTGTAATAAATAATCTGGATTTCATCCGATACTTTTTATGTAATAGAAATTTGCTCAAGATTTTCTTGTAATATTCCTCATTTTGGCTTTATATTCTAGACTGGTTACTGTCTCTTTGTTGGCTAAGGCAGTCACATCAGCTTGTCTCGTGCCTGAGATCTGGAGTAGCCATCTTGTTAAAACCGTGGATCTCATAGGACCGCTCTCGTTTACAACAGGAAAATATTTTTTATCTGAGGGATTCAAAATTATTATGAAAAAATAATACCTTTGTTTCCTTCTTGTAAAGAGAGTTCACTCAGTCAGGCAACCCCTGTTCTTTAGAATTTTGCTTCTGCAACATTTTCGGAGGTCACTCGATGTCTGTCCCCCGTGACCAGTCTCACTGATTGAGAGGACCAACTTTATAGTAAATTTGTTTACAAATTACTTTCTCCACGAGGAAAAGGTCCATTTTGTATAGGACGACGCCAAATCATTTGGCATTGAACTACAATTCTATTCATATTCTCATGTATAATGCTGTTATCGAGAGTATGCGTTGATAGTGTCCTTCATTGCGGCTTGCCGTTGCATTGCCACTCACTATTGCAATTACGGTTGAGGTCATGACATCAGATCGAAGGTCGCTACCCGCAAGAAACCCGTGAACTCGCTAGCTATGCTCTTTTTGCACCCTGGTCTATGAATTTCTTGAGACATTTTCTCCGTTACGTACATGGGATTTCGTCATTGGGACCAATGTCGTTTTGATTTCAACAGGTATATTTAATCATCGCATGTAAGAGACTAGGAGACATGGATCGAGTCTTGAGATAAAATAAGAGGACGAATGATTCTTTATCCCACATAAGAGGAAACAGACATGTCTTTCTAGCAGCGGATGGCAATTAAACAACGTTTTTGCATGTGCAGGTTCTTGCTAGTCGTGCTGCGTAAAGACCTACGCTAATTGTAGCCTGATCATGGAAATCAAAACGAAACCCTAGACAAACTCTCCTTCGTACGATTTGAAAGCTTATCCATAAGATTGAAATTAATCGATCGGCCAATGGTGGTCCTTCGAGTAATTTCCATCATTTTGTTTACTTGTGAGCCCTGTAGGATGTTTCCTTCAGACGAAGATTCATAGTCCGACACATGTATGATTTTAACATTCACATAATTGACACTTCATTGACTACAACTCTTTCCACTTTCCTTCAACTTTGACATGGGCGGTCTTGATTTTCTTATCAAACATATATTGAACGTACGGACACACGCACCAGCCCCAAATTTTCATTCCCAACCACCTGGATGCATGCACAACCCTCCTCATATTGCGAGCAAAAGTGCTGGCAACGACCGGTTGAAGCGGTCCCTCGGCTGGCTCTGCCACAGCGTATGACTCGTCCGCGCCACCTCCCACCTCGGCGACGACACCTCTCTCACGGTCAGCCATGTGTTGAAATACTCCCTGAACTGCATGATCAGCCCGTTCTTCAGCGTCCAAGCATGGACCCAATATGCCTGCGCCCCTTCCCACCCCTCCGCGATCACACAGTCGTCGCCTATAGCTGTTATGCTACGTGGATGGAATGTAAACGCCGAGTAGTCCGATTCCCCTGTGAGCACCCGCATCATGTGCTGGCAGCCAGGCGGCCCGTGGAACCACCATTCGAGATCGCTGGCCAGGAGCTTGGCCACCTTGTCGGAGTCGCCGAGAGCCAATGCAGCGTAAAGGGCCTCTACGGTAGCTTTGTTTTTGCCGGATTCCGGCGAGGTAGGTTCAATGTCATTGGTCGCCATTTTGGGTTATGAATGAAGGAATGTAATGCGATAGGGAATGGCCTACAAGCTACAAGGACAGTGGGATGGATTTTGTATGGAATGTGGCTTGTTTTCTTGCTTGGGAGCGTTTGTCTTGGTATTGCACTATAGGCCTAGCGGTGTGAACCTATATATAGTATGCAATTGGGATAGGAAGAGGAGATTGGGACCCATTCTGCTGATCAGTCAGAGATCAACGGTGGTGATTCGTGGTGGTGATGACGTGGAAGATCAGACGGTCATTTCTTGCTCCCAAGATGGGGATGTCCTTTGTGCTACACTTGATGCCAAGCAAGAGCTCAGGGCGGCCCCGATAATACAACTCTAAATTCAATGCTCTTCTGGGGACAATCGATGGGGATTGTACCGGAACCAGATGAATCCTAAAAACCATAATCAAACGTTTCTCCGGAAAATGACAATTCTACCCCTTGCAGGATTGATCTATCCGGTCGCACCTTAGTTGTCTTCCTTGTGGACAGAAAATTCACCTTCGATTGGTGCCCCGAATTCATAAAGTAACTCATTAATTTCAACAAACTAGGAGTGAGCCAAAATTTACGTGGGTAACTATAAAATAAAATCGTTTACACTTTGGTGAGGCGTGAGAAGTCAAAACATTATGCTGTTTTGTGATGTGGGTAATCCATCCAAACATGTTTGATGCATAATCTTCGGACAATTCAAAGGAACATTATTGAGTGCATGGGGTGCATATGAGTCCAGTGCACCTTGTAAATATTTGTGAAACTGCTGTCAACCGTTTTAAAAATGAATGCATGGTTCAATTTTCCCTCACGTGTAAGTTGGACTTTGGCTCGGATTAAGCGTGGAAATACTCAATAAGAAGATCAGATGATGGGTTTGGAATATTTCAACTCAAGACCTCATGTTTTGTTACCATATAAAATTTCGTGGGATCACTTTTAACTATTTTACAAGTTCAAGTTGTTTGATGAAAACGTTGTTCAATATTCTAACACTCCTTAGCTCTTATATCACGTAGGATCCATCAAAATCAAAGACTGTAATACATCAGATTCACATGCATTCTCGACATATAAGAATTATTCCACTCAAAAAGGTTGGTCACCAGTCAATTTCTCGTTCTGTTCTTTCCTAAGTGGCCACGTATAGATAGAGGTAATATAATAGTTTGTATATTCCTTTATTCTTCAGGTATCTACTCACCACTTTAGGCTGCTTAGTGAGAGAGAAAGCGAAATGGGATGTTCCTCTTTTTGTCCGGATTAAACTCGACGATTTTGCATGCTCCCAAACTCGAGGAGAGTGCAAAGAGAACATTCCAATCCATATCTCGTTGACAATTAAGTTTTTTTTTTTTTTGGTAAGGTAAGATGTATATTAACTTTTTAACGCACCACTTACAAAGGGGGGTTAGCCGTACACAAAAACCTCGTACCCAATGGGACACCAATGGTGTTCCAACGGGTAAAAGGTGTGCGACTATTCAAAGCTAAACGCGATCGAAGTGGAGCAAAGGATAGCCTAAACAATGGCTAAGGGAAAACAAGAGCAATACACAATCTAAAAAGGAAGATCACTCAAAGATTGTTGCTGAGATGCCCCAGTTGTTTTGGGTTCTCCGGTTGCAAGGAGTGTCTTCCACGGGCTTAAAGGATAGCCCTCTATCTCTTGTGACCTTTACAAGGTGATTACGAATGGCCGGCAAGAAGAAATTCTTGTTCCTGAAGAGGATGTGGTTCCTTTCCGACCAAATGATGTGACAAAGTGCACTGAAGGAAAATCGAGCGATGCTATGGTGAAAGGTGTTGCCCCCAATAAAACGGATGGCCCATCGGAGATTGGCTTGCCACGGTCTATTGCGCCAGGAGAGGCCGCACTTGGATGCCCAAAAGAGGGCAAGGGAGCCCGTGAGGTTACAGCCAAAAAATAAGTGGTCAATGGAGTATGGCCTACAATGACAAAAAGGCACAAACCCCTTCCGCAATCCTTTGATAGCTCAATAAAAGTACCTGCGTGGGAAGCCTATTGAGCGCGGTAAGCCACAATAGAAAACTATATCTGGCTGGAATGGAAGAATCCCAGATGAATGAGCTCCAGGTGACTACCTGACCCTTGTTTCTAATTAATTCCCAAGCCCTGGATGAGGAAAAAATACCTGAGGGATGTCCCTGCCAAGATAGATGGTCATTTCCATCCTCATCTAGGGATAAACCAAGTGGCCAGGAGTGGAGCGCATCCAAAACCGGGGATTGATGCCATACCGAGGAGTAGAAATCTCTCACAGAGGATTTTCTTGGGATTCCTGATCGGTAAATGTCCCTGTCAGAGAAAAGTTTATAAAGAGGGCCCCTAATGTGCCAATGATCAAACCAAAAGGACGTGTCAGCTCCATTGCCAAGGCGCCAAAAGAAGTGAAGCTGGAAATCTTGGCGGAGGTCAAGAAGTTTTTTCCAAGCCCAAGAGCAAATAGTTGGCTTAGGTATGACCCAGAAATTCTTGTTCTTCAGAAAAATGGAATGAATCCATTTACACCAAAGCGATTCCTTGTCTGGGAAAATGTTCCAAATGTGTTTGAGTAAGGCTGCACGATTGCAGTCAAGGAGCCAACGAATGCCCAACCCTCCTTCGTTGACAATTAAGTTTGTTCACTCTTTATTCAAAAATTTTACTGAATGTAGAGCTAAGACAATGATGGTGATAATCATGTGGGTATTTATGGAAAGTTGACATTAACAAAAAGTTAGTGGATGGATTTCTTAGATTTGTTATTCTTTGGATTCTCATCCAAGAAATTGACAACAAATTGACCTTTATGATGATAACATTCATGACAAGTGTCAAGTGTTTCGCTTTCCTCCAATCCAAGAAGATGCGTGCTAGCTAGATGAATGGCTTGGAAGGTTTTCAAATGTTGTCAGTAAGTCTTGGCTTTATTAGGAGAATTGTTTCCGAGCGGCAATGACAAAAGGTCGCTTGACCTCTCCGTTTGGTCATTAGTCATTTTCGCCATGACTAGAAACTTCATCAAAGTCGGGGATGCCACTTGGAAAATCACCATAGTATAGATGATGAATAGGAAGCTAGCTCTAATAGAAGTTAACTTCATTGCCATATAATGGATGAGCTAGCTTGCAACATGCGAGAAAGTCCAGACAGGTAGCTCAAATATAAACTTGTTTGCACTTGGTGCATACATAATCAAACTTATATCATGCATTTAATGTACACATAAAAGTCTGTACCTTAACCATTAGACCGATATGGATTTATTTTTTCTGTTTCTATATCTCTATTCAAGCAAGTTGATTTGTAAGCATATCATAACTGTTGACACCTAAATTTTGACTAATCATTTAGCGATTAATTGCATAGAAAATTAGGGATTAAATTTTAACCCCTAAACAAAAATATCAAAATCGCATAGCATATAATTTAGGATCATATAGTTTAATTGCATTCAACATCGGACCGGCGGTAGTGAGTAAGTTGAAAATCCATCGCATAAATCAAGCTCGAGTACCGAACAAAGCTCGTCTCGCTCGGAAGACGGGGGCCGAAAATCACAAGTCTAAAAGGCCTTGGTTGTCTTAATTTGAGCTTAAATCAGCCCATCAAGCTTAATTAGAGAAAAGCCCAAATTAATTCGGCCCATTTGGAATTAAATAAAAATTAAAGGATAAAAGCTTAAGCCTAAGCCCATTAGGACTAGGAAGCCCGGCCAATTAACTTAGGGTTGCGATATAAACATGTGATTATACCCCTCAATCAAGGGGGCTCTCATAACTATTTCCAGAACACAATTCTTGAGAGCACGAGAGACACGTGAGCAAGAACAAGAGTAAGAGAGAGAGTCGCTCGTGCACGTGCCCGCCCCATTGTTGCGCCTCCTCGCGACCGCACCATCTTCACCACTCCTCATCGTCGCCAATCCCGCGAGCCACCACCGCGACGATCACCACCTCTGCGCCCAACGCCGCTGCCTGTGACCTCTCTGATTTGCTGCCGTTCCTGAGTCCGACGCCCACCTCTCGCCGCTACGTCCAGTCCGATCGCTCGTGTCTCCAACCAGCAAGCATCATCGGGAAACTGATTTATCCAAGCTGAAGGTTGAAGGCCGTGAGTCCAAGGGGTGGATTTTGTTCCATTATCACCATCTGTTGGCCAAGGTCAGGAGCATGAAGTCAAAGAAATTCATGGCCACGTAATCTGAAGCAGGGAATTCCAAAGAAGAAAAGGCAACGAAAAAGGTGGCAATTGGAGATTTCAGTTTGAGTGAGCAACGTGACAACTGCAAATCAAGAACGCATCTGTCGCTCTCCATCATCAAGTTCCATTCGCAAGTCCAAGCCACCGTGACAACGCTGAGACTAGCAACTCCCGCGAACGGTCCTCCCTTTACCACCCGACACCATCCTCGATCAATCCCGGTGTTCCCTGTCGCTTTCCTGGTCGTGGAGTCCCTACACCGTCGCGGCCCGTATTTCTGTTTTGCAGATTGACTGGAGCGCCACCACATCACCACTGTCGCACCCACCGTCAGTTGATCCGTCCCGTGATCCGCAAGCCCGAGTTCGATCCGAGTTCAAATTTGGAAATATCCGTCAAATTAGGTACGATCGATATCCAATGTTTTTTTAGAATATTTTAAATTCCTAGTTTAGGTGTTTTAAATATTCAGTGAATATTTGGTGGATTGCTAGATCTTAGGGATAATGCACGCAATATCCGCAAATTTCTAAAATACTCAAAATTAGGAATTTTGGCAACGTATCTGGACGACTATCCGACCTTATTCCTAAGGTACGATACGCGGTGATACGGAAAATCGTCATCTTATCCATAATCTCTTGGATACGATAATAGATTTTATTCGCTTTCCAAATTCGAACAATCAACTTTCCGTCGATATCTATAACCCTATAGATATGACCGTTAGTTTGATTTTTTTTCCTAATCCAAATTTGATAAGAAGAATCTTGCAGATTGCGTGGATTGTTTGAGTGCGGTTGTTATCTTTGTTTGATTGTTTTTTTTTAAATAAAGAAAATCCAAAAATATGTTAGTTAGGATTTAAATTAGAAGTTTTGCATGTTTAGGGAACCCTAAATG